ATTTCGTCGTCAAACTTTGAGATGGGCAGCACTTGTGGAAAGTTTCATCAAAATCCCATGTGACATAAAAAAGTATATTTCATGGCTCCCTTTAAAATGTATGTATCGAAGTGAGATTGTTGTTTTGTCGAAAAGACTCATGTACTCATATCTGACTTCGAGTGCACTTCTGAACTAACAAATGTTTATTTTCAAACAGATCATTACGAAGACCCATCAGTTGATTATGACCTTAGTGTAATAACAAATGCAAACGAGATTCTTGATATTACTAATTCAAACAGAAATACAGGCGAATGTAGTCAACAACTAAAAAGGAGAAAAGCAAGCTATGCAAATTTAAGGCAACAAGCATCAAGAAGATTGGAGTACTCAGTTAAACAACAGTTAAAATCGATGCATGATCAAACCGAAAAAACAATTGATGTTCGATATTTAGAACAAGATGCAACGTCGTCATCATTACTTCTACAGAAGAGAAGACCATCTCCAGTTCAAGTAAGATTTATTCTGTTATCCTTTTACAAGGGCATAGATCACACGAAATTTTTGTTATTCAGACGGAGAATGAAGAACGCAATGGATTCATTTCATTGTCACGAGAAGATTTGCTTAATAAAAATGAAAAATTAGAAAAACAAGTAGCTGACCTAATATGTTTAAGTGAAAACTTAAAGATACAATTACAAGATTTAACAGATCAATGTCCAGTATCAACAAATGGACAATTGTTCTGGATTATTCGTGATATTGAAGATAAAATCAATGATGCACAAACACAGAAACAAACATTCGCTACATCACCAGTATTTTTTACATCACCAAATGGATATAAGATGTGCATGCGTCTCTATTTAAACGGTGATGGTTTAACACGAGGAAATCATGTGTCAATATTTCTTGCATCTGTTCCAAGTGTGATAGATTCCTATTTAAACTGGCCGTTCAGAGCAATTGTAACAATCTGTTTATTTGATCAAACAGATCGTACACAACATATCAAAAAATCATTTAATTGTATTATACAGCAATCATCTGGCTCAGGGGGTATATCAAAATTTATTCAAACAAATGTAATACATCAATATAATAATCCATATGTTTATCAGGATAGAATGGAACTTCATGTTCGCATACAGAAACCAACTCCGGATCTATTATTACATATTGAACAAGCAGTTAGCTTTGACGATACACCTGTCATGCAAGATCAAGAACAACGACATCAATATCGTGAAGACCTTTTGGATATAAATAATTTAATTCAGTTTAGCTGATTTTGAAAAATTCTTTGTTTCATTTTTCAGAACAAACTTAGACGGTATAAAATCCATTCGAAAAAGCACAAAGATGTCCATAAGAAATGAGCTTCTCATGTGTCAAATTACTATCCGTACCAAAATGCAAAGCCAGCGGTTGCCTTTTGAGTAATTTTCGATAGAAGTTAGATAGAGACTTGCCATTTTCACTATTCGCTAACCAAGACCTGTACGCATCCTTCCATAAGCAAAAATGATTTTTGAAAACGATTCGAAGATCTACTATACATTCTATATTATATATTATAGATATAGAGACAGATACTTCTGTACCTATCATCTATGTATAAATTTTGAATTATTTTGTAATTCGTTTCCGTCATGAACTTCTTTCAAATTAATACAGAACTCAGATGATCTGTGTACAAAAAAGCCTGATAACTATGCTACCCTAAACACAGATGCAGTAGATTCAATTATCAACCATATAGGCTAGCTAATCAGCAGCGTAGTCATTCAACATGTTCTGCTTTCAGCAGCAAGATACCTCGTTCAGCTTCAGTTTCTGGCCTGTACTTAATAAGTGTGATAATTCACTTTAAAATAAATCTTTTTTTAACACATGTCAGTTAGGAAACAAAAAGAAGAAAGGTGACCGCCTGCGTTTATCCAAAAAATAAAAGAAACCAAAATATAACCAAAATAGTCAAAATCCTAAGCCTGATTTTAGTACCATTTATGTGAAGTAAAATCAAAAATGTCTTTCCTTTCCATTCGGTCGATATTACCTAGATCTTACAAGGATCAAATAAAAACGAAAGTCTTAATTTAATTTTGAGGTTCAAAAATTGGTTTTATTCTGTTTGCATCCACTTGTCTGAGATAATCCAAATGTTCTAGTTGAATTTGAAAATTCTGAAAATGCTCAAATCCCGAAGGTTTTCAGGAAATCCTTTTATAGCCTCTTTAACAATGTCAGAAAATTTTCTTTTACTCACATATAACAGGTATCCATACGATATTTTTTCATAATCTAAGCATGAATTCGTAAGCGAAAAAATCTAGATACACTTGCTGGGGTAGCGCCCGATACTCCAGCAAAAGTATCTAGATAAAACAGTAAAAATATCGGGTTATCTGATGCATCGGGTTTTACACGGTTACAAGATGCATCTAATAGGTTTTTTAGTGTACAACTTGAGCTTCATGGTGCAAAACGATAATTACTGTTTCTCAACAAGGCGATTACTCATTAGTTGTATCTAGCTGGAAATCGCCTTACACTAGATGCATCGTCCGATTTTAACGATAGGATGGAATGAACTTGACTTAAAACGATGTTCAAGTAGATGAATTGATCGATATATCCCACGATGCATCGCCCGACACATTATACGATGTATCGGCCGTTTTATCAAGCGATCTCACGCATGTCTCATCTGGAGTTGGTGCACAATCAGACTCACTCTCGATATATTGCTCGATGAATCGGGTTAATATTGCTACCAGATACATCTAGAAATGAATCGCCTGTACCTAAATGTATCGGCCGATAACACGATTCAACTTTTTCTCTTTTTTATGCATCTAGATGCATAAAAAATTTAGTTCCGTACCATTTTTCATCTTTCCAAATGGGATCTCAAAAATCTAGTTCAAGATCCAGGAAGCTGAATAGTATTTACATTAGAGAGGATTTATAGTTTCTCCTCTACTTTTATCCATTCTAACTGTTGAATAGTTATATACTCGTCAGCTTGAATGCTATAGCTGTCTGTTTTCACACATCTACGCATGGTTTTTTCTTTCGTTTCTTTCGCTCTCTAGAAAATTTTATAGATAAACACATGCATATATTGGTAGAACTTATATTTTTGACTCTAATGTTATAGTATCTAGCCCCTGTCGTAATTTTCTTGACACCTAGTTCCTCTAGAAAGCGAAGTTTTAGAAAAACCTCCGAGAATGAAGAAAAACATTACCGATCGCTTTTTTTTGCCATTATTTTCACCAGCAAAATATACCTGTCTCTTTCTTCTTCTTTATATAGATTTTAGTTGAATTGTGGAACTTGTATGATTTGTTCACTATAAAAATAAAATAGTCACTATTCTGTTAAATAAAGTGCTCTAAAGGTTTCTAAATGGTGAATTTCATTCCATCAAAACAATATTCATCCGCATAGAGAATATTTAGAAACAAACAACTAAAAAGTTACGTTATACACCTTAAACATCAGAGAAAAAGAAACGTTGTAAATATGGTATGGTACTAATTCATTGTGTGTTCAGAAAAGATGCAACAGAGTGATTTAAGCATTTAGTTGTTTTTAATCGGCTCATTCTTTTCCAATAATTCTAATTACTTTTTAGGGCGTCTCTTTTTTTCTTAAACCAACATCTTTTTACTTCTTCTCTACAACTTACACTTTTAAATAAACACGTCTTTGTTTAAAAACCAAAGAATGTCACATTGAGTAGGAGAAAAGCTTTAGACGAAAAATATTTGCCTATAGTTTTGCAAAATGATTCAGCAATGAAGTGTACAGCGTTTCTTTTTCTCTGATGTTTAAGGTGTATAACGTAACTTTTTAGTTGTTTGTTTCTAAATATTATCTATACGGATGAATATTGTTTTGACAGAATGAAATTCAACGTTTAGAAACCTTTAGAGCACTTTATTTAACAGAATAGTGATTATTTTATTTTTATAGTGAACAAAATCATACAAGTTCCACAATTCAACTAAAATCTATATAAAGAAGAAGAAAGAGACAGGTATATTTTGCTAATGGAAACAATCGAAACATAGTGCGCCATTTTTGGATTCCGAAACACATTGTTCAAAAGTCTAAGTTAAAAAGAAGAAATAAAAAGCGTTAGTTTGAGAAGCAAAGACTAAAAATAATCAAAGTTATTGGAAGAGAATGAGTATAAGTATCACAATATGGAATCATCCATTACAAGTCAATGATGCATGAAGTGAGACTATATTAGAAGAAAAGTTAGTGGCAAGTTGTTTGGAAAATAAGTGCATAATAAATGAAGCGTTTCATAGTTTTTTCGTCTCATTCGTCCCTATTTCATGCATCAGGGGTTTGTAATGGTTTTTTCGGTCCTGTGTTCATTGTAGTGCTTATAACTGATGTAGTCTTTGGGTTGCCTGACATTGAGTTAATTGTTAGTCCACACGCACCTCCTTTCTCAAAAGCTAACAAACTGATAGCTTTTTGAATTTTTCATTTATGGGCAACATCCTTGCGAATTTTCCATTTATGGGTAACAAAGTGAGCAGTCCGCCTTTCAGTTGGGTTAAGAATGGAGAGGGTCAAATATGGATGGTCTCAAGATAGTTTATATGTCAAAGTTCCATCATCGACAACCAATGGTGAATTATCTATAGTTGAAGATACATCGAAACCAAACTTCTTTTTGGCTCGACATCATCATAAAAAAATGACAGAAATATTTTATATTGTTGAAGGTCAAGTGAATCTTTTTTTGATAATGAAACAATCATGACAAACAAAGGCGATACAATTGTTGTGCCACCGAACACATGGTATGCGGCTAAATGCGTTGATGGTGGTAAAATGTTAACTATATTCAAAAGTGGTCAATTTGATGTCTATTTAGAAAAAATTAAGCAAAATGACTGACGCAGATTTTAAAGATGCTCAGTTAATGCAACGGCTGAACCACGACAGTGACATTTATAAAGAATGAACAGAGACAACAAGAAACTTTTCTTCATTTTTTTCCACTCATGAATTATCTTAAAATCGATTTGCTTTAGAATCTAACCTTCGATCGCGCTTTAGAAACTAACCTCTGTTTGCTTTGTAGTTATTTTTTAAAAAACTAGCTCTATCGGGCTATCAAAATATTTTCACTTTAATACCTTTGATTGATGAGTTTTTAACACGGCGCAAAATAGTCATGTTTCACTAATTTCTAGCATTGATTAAATATAACAATAATTGGAGTATATACCTCTCACTTAATGCTGTTTTGTTGTCGACTGTCTGTATGAAAATCAGCGGTTATAGGTTCATATCATCGAAACGCATAAGGACAAGAAATATACGTGGAACTTTGTCCGGAAGATAAACTTCAGAAGCTAAGCCTTCTTGTTTCAAAGTATAATATGTGATGTGTCGATAGAAATGTATATATTTTCTACCTTACCTGAGGGTTGAAATTACAACTGAAGCTGAGTCCGGCATCTACCACGTCAGAAACTCGGCTACGATTTAATTATTTACCAAAAGAAATGGAAATAGATAATAAAGCAAAACTCATAGCCATCTCATTGAAATACAGTATTGTCTGTCCGTACACTGCATTTGTCGGTGTTGAAAGTCGATTCTGCAAATGCGAAATGCTGTGATGGTGAACGCCGCTTTTGAGATCCCCGTAACTTTTGGGCTAAAGCGTCGCCTAGAGCAGGAAGACATCTCATTTTGGTGGTATGTTTACTCTATAATTTAGGATCTTAGGAAATATTTTCATTTAGATTTGATATGGATAAAGGTCAATTTGTTGAAAACCCCAGTTTTTTAAGAACTACTTTTCTTCTCATTTGAGACTTTAAAAATTTTTTTTTTAGACATATCGGCCTTCTTTTACTGTTGACAAATACGTTGCCCCTGAAGATAATAATCCGATCGAACTGAAACATTTTCTTCTCAAGCTGCTTCCTATCACCTTGCTTTTCAGACTGATAGCGAAGAAGATCCACAACGAAACACGGATTTTTGTGTTTTGAACCTTTTCATAGTCTGCAACGAAAGCACATCGCTAGAAAAATACAAATACATAACAGAAATGTTTTTAGTTACATCCGGAAAAATTTTAGCCATTTCAGTCATCTTTTTTTTGGAGGATCGAACACATGAACTTTTATCTATCTTTAGGGCTTCTCGTAAACGGCTTTGAAGATCATTTTATTTTGAGAAAACAAGTTTGCTCTAGAGGTGCCAAAAAGTTGAAAAAATAATAAAGAATGCAGTGAATAATGATGGTTTTCAGCATGAAATTTATG